GAACGCCCTACACATTCTTAAGCTCTTTCACACAAAGTGAATCGCTTAAGTGAAAAATTACATTCGTGTAATACCCAATGGAGTGAGAAGCCTTCCTTCCCTTCATCGCTATGCTGTAAATAAATATGCTTCTGCGTTATGGTTAATGCATAGTGTGTCATATATGTCACAAAGCAAAAATGTGAAAATTACTGAGATAAAATAATTGTAATATTTTAAAACTTATTTTCCCCTTGGACTAGACTAAATTCCTCGATTACCTGATTTTTTTTTTAGTTACTTTCCAAAAAATCATGCATTAAAGGGTTAAACCGAACTCATTTCTCGATCTACTCGACATTTTAGTCGCTCACTTTTCTGCTGGTTTTAATCGAAGTCAAGCGGAGAAAATCCTTTCCTGGCGAACCACCTGGTTCCCTCTTCAAGGACTAATCAAGTGCAAATCGTGTCGGTGCACGTTTCCTTTCGCTATTTCTCTTGACATCGAGCGACGGAAGACGAGAAATGGCCGGATGAAAAGTTGCAGATGACAAATTTCGGAATCGCTCCACTCGATTCCCTCGGACACGAAAGAAGAGGAGCTTTGGCAAAGCTTCCATGAAAATATCATGCTCGCAGAAATTACCCTTGGCAAAAATGAGGCCTGGTAACGTCGTGAATGGCATATTCCCATCTATCTTGGCTTGAGTTCAAGCGGTTAGACGATGAATTGCAGACCTGAGACAATCGACAGAGAAGCCATTGAGGGTCATTGGCAGGGCTCCAGTGAAGTCGATGCTTTCTGGTCTATACTTGAATAAAAGATGGGAATGTTAAGTCTGGTATTACGCAGGACCCCCACCCCCTCCCCCCTCCCCCCCCCTCCCCCTCTTCCTCTCGTGCCAGACGGGATGGGCCGTCTTCTTGGATCCAGGCCGAAATGATCTTTCTTTATTTTGCCCTCATTGCACCCACTTCCCTTTCCTCCTCGTATCTATTCCTCTGACAGGCAAATGATTAGCCCTTTTTTTCTCCCCCCCAAGGACTCATTCATCGATCGTCAGGTGACGTCATTTGCCCCAGAACTCGGCAGCTGAGTCCTGAGAAAATATGAAATGTATTGCCCTTTAAAGGTTACTAGCTGGTATCCGTGAAACTTTCACGTCTTCGTATTAGAGGTTAAGCGACGTATGTCCCAAAGCATTTAAATAAAACGCAGCTAGAATTTTCAAGTAATATCAATAATATTGAGTGCGTCCCGTCAAACAACCCCCCCCCCTTCCTTCCCCAAATCCCAGAAATGTTCTCAATATGCCAAATTTCAACAGGTTCGGTTCTATAATATTCAATTGAGACCCAATGTACGAATTAGGAACTCATGTCTATCAGATGAAGGAGAGGAGATCCTTCCCATCCCCAGAGACCCCTAATTTCCCTTTTTAGGAATTTTAAGTGATTTCTGTCTCCGAGAATTCTAGGGATAGCGTTCGAATTCCAATCTGTCACGCTTTGGATCAATAATGAGGGATGCGTTGCGTCATCAGGGAAACTGCAATTGCATGTATGCAAATTTTCAGCGAGTGCCGCCACGTAGCATTCGAGTGAGATACGTCGTTCGAATTTCGAACCCATGGGCATTTGTTGAGGCATGATTTTGAACCATGCCCGGCACGAGCTTCAGCTCTATTGGACGAACCCGACCCGCGGATCGGGCAGGCAGCTCGGTAGGCAATCAAGATTCCAGTTGGGTGCAGGCGAATGCATTATCAGAGGAATCTTTTTCTCCAGCCGCTTGCAGCTGCTGGCAAAAATGACACCTCGTTCCGTCAGCGCTTGACGCGTTCACGTCATTAAATGACGTCACTCTCAGGCAAGCAGCTGGCAGCGTAACGTCGCGAACTGTGAGAGCACTGAACGGCCCATCACGAACGTGACGTCATGGGAGCGTCAGCAGAGGTAGCAGAGCCTCTTCAAAAGGACGTACCCAGAAACCCTGAGTTCTGAAGCTTAGAGGCCTGAGCGGGCTGCAGGCCAGCTCGATCGGCCCTTCACGACCCGACCCGCAGGTGGGGATCCGCAAAGCTCGGCATGGCGATCGAGTTCCGGGTCAGGTAGGACCACAATCCGAATCGGACAGGACCACGACTCGAATCGGCCAATCGGGTCGGGTTCGGAAAAGTGGACCCATGCAGGCCTCCGGCGGACAGACGGAGGACATCGGCTATTATTATATAGATTATTATATAGATTCAACGATGATGTTTCTCGCCACAGGAAACACCGACCACTCTTCGTGATAACTTATTTTGTTGCGAAGCCGCCTTCTGGAGAAACAGGAGTCACAGAACTGCGATCACGCTTTTCCTGCAGCTCAAATGGAACTCCCTAGATATTTTTGTACTTTTATATTTTCATTTAAGTACGACACCAAGGAGCAAGATGCGTTCACAATTGCTGGTGCAAGTGGCGCTTCGATCGGTAGCACCACTTCCGAGGCGATTCCAGGGAAACCGTCTCAATATTTTCTTACTCTAATTTAATTTAGGCCTTCGACTCCAAGATATATTGAATTACGATGAAGGGACTTTTTAGTGGATTTCGGGAATTGGCTCCACGAAGACGAAGAGGGAAGGAGTAGGCGGAGGGGGAAGACTAGTGGTTTTGGCCTTGCGCGACACTGTGTGAATGTCAACGAGGGACAAGAGCTATCGATTTCTGCACGGGCTAATTGACTGGTCCCCGGCCGAGAACCTATTCAAAGGAGACAAAGAGGGGGGGAAACTTGGAAGATGCGTCAAAAAAGTCGCCATGGTGATGGCTGAATGAGGGAGCACGAGAGTAATCATCTCAAGGCCATTACTCGTGCTCGGTCGCTGCCTTACCATGGCGACTCGACGTCGAGGCATATTTGTGGAAAGAAAATAAATATAGAAATAAATAATTCAGAAGACTTTGCGATTTCATCATTAGCTCGACGGAGAAACGACTTCCTTTCCCCCCTCTAAATTATGGACTTCATGAAAATCTGTCTGCTTCGCCGTAGTCTGATGACTACGAACTCTTATAATCTCTTATAACCTCTTGGGACCCATGGTATAGGATTCTCCAGCCGACGGTCAATTTTTCCTCATTAGTCACGAAGTATGGAAATCTATACCGTATAAACTGAGGCTAATGAGACAAATCCTATCAATATTTTCTTAGAATATGCTAATAAAATAATAGAATATGCTAAAAATAATATTAGCAACGTGAAGAGCTTTCCGGTGCAGCCGGCTTGGGGCCTCGGGAGAAACTATCAAAAACTCCTCGCTGAGGGAAAAAAGATGCAAAAGGTCACGTATCCGTGCTCAGATTGCATGATGCGAAGAATGATACGCTGGGTAATCATGAAGCCCGATTCTAAATCTTAAAATATCGCAGGAAAAATTGACGTTTCGGAAGGATTTCCACCGATTTGTCCATGCTGCCTCGCGCTATGGAACCTAAATAATTTTCTCATTTCCAGTTATTCTTCTTCTTTCGAACTCGACGATCGCTGGTAGCCAGGCGCCCCAATGGGGGCCTTTGATGAGCTTGGGGGAAGCGTCCCGTGTGAGCGTGGGGAGATTGCAAAGCACTCGCAGAGGCTAAAAAAAAAAACTTTCAATTTAGATAATGAAAAAGAAATTAAGAGATCACGGTGCTCCTAAGACCTCGGCTTAAAGAAATCTCAAAGAACGGCCGTCGTATCTTATCTAAGGTAAGGTATCATGATACAGTATTCCAAGAATCTTATAAGATTCCTTTGGGATCCTATATGATTATTATATAATCATATATATATAATTATATCCTATCCTATATATACTATACATTATATTGATATATTATATATTATTGTTTAATACTATAATATTCCTATAAGAATCCCGTGCTATTTTATGCTTCAAAAACCTCTTAGGATTCGTATAGTACGTAGTTTAGGGCGGGTGAGCAGCGTCGTCGACTGCGGTATATTTTCGCCTTTATTTTCCAACTGTTGGTCAACACCTACCTTCTCTGCAATCAATTACTTTCATCGGTGCGCCTGGGTATAAACGACTTTGTCAACAGGTTTGGGTGGTGGTGGTGCCCCTTAGGTGATCGGGGCAAGCACCCTAGGAAGGGATTTTCTTATCACTGATGGTGTGAAATAGGTTACCTTCATCTTTTTTCTCTTCCCTCATGCGTCATCATGGCTGGTCTCCGACACCTTTCACGACCTTTTCCTCTACGAAACAATCCTATAAGAATCTTAAGAGCTTTTGGAACCAAGAATCTTATAGGATCCTGAGATCCTATGATATGAGATATGAGAAGGTTATAGGTTTTTATGTTCTCAAAGAACTCCAATAGGCTTTTTCCTAAGGGAAAAAAATGTTCACCCTGGATCTCGGGCGTATTGCTTTTAGTCGTATATCTCTACCTGTCGAGGGCGTTTGTTTTGGTGCTCTGTTGTTTTCTTCGGAGCTCCCTTGAGTTGCATGAAAATGTCTGGGATTTTTCATTTATTTCTCTTTCGCCCTGCAGCGAATCGCCTTTATTCGTTTTTCCTGCCCCTGTCTCTTTCTCCCCCTTGTGGCATCATCTAACTGCATGGCTGCACCAGATATGCCTTTGTCAACTTCGTCTTTCCCTCTGTCTCCACTAAGTTTATTATTACATCATGGTACTGAGGCGCCATACAATCGTCGAACAAAAGAGGAAAGAGCGCCGAGTGATTCACGTTATCAAGGAAATTACCCGAGGATAGAGTTGAGTAGTGGGTGAGGCAGACGAAGGATGAGCGTTTGTGAGCTATTTGCATTTCAAATGTTGCAGCATAACCGAGAGGCTAATTATTCCATTTTTCTTTCATCCAAAATTGCCCTGGAGAAATATTGATGCGGAACCTTTCCTCGTATGCCTCACGACCCGAAAGCACATGGAGGATATTGAGGGTAATCGAAAAGGCAACCCGTAAAAGTGGAGAGCTGTATTCCCAAAATAGGGATAGAAGCCCCGGAACAATTATTTCGCTGACACAATGGCGAAAGTACATCGCGCTGATGAAATCGGCAGAAAATCACTCGAATATAGTCCAGCAAATAGAGTGGATTGTGTCCTTCGTCATCTGCTCGTTCGACTGGATCTGCATCCCATCACAGGGCGCTACACTGTAATAAAAAAAAAGCAGAGGTGATACTCCTAAAGAATGGCAGTTTTAAATGAAGGACGAATTTTGAAGTTTGGGAAATTTAAAGCTTCATTCTTCATGCATCTTGCATGCACTTATACAGAGAAACTGCAACGCATGCCGAATGAAGACTCGCGACTTTCACCCAATTGATCTCTGCTCTTTCTGCAACTACATTCATGGAGCTTGCCAAGTCCAGAGGCTGAGATGTTTCCGACAGACTATTGAAATTTCATTCAAATGCTTTGCGCCGAGGCAAGGCCATGGGGAATTATTCAAAATAAGGTGGATATTGGAAATGGAGATGAGCGGATGCCGGCAGTGAAGTGGAGGAAACGCCTCTGCGCTCTCCCTGCATTCAGCTTACGTTGAGCATCTCTACCGTCAAAATTTCATTCTTAGCAAGGTTGACCTTTTGTTTCGGGTGGTTTTGATAAAGAGTTTTCCAGTTAATAAATGTTGGGTCGATAAGTAATCGGCGCAGAGATTTGCTCCAAGTGTTTGAAGGAGCTCGGAGAAAAGGAGAGGTGCAGTCTGGTCGTACTTAAGAAACTAAAATCCCTCGTCCGTTTCCAACCTCGATTTTTTTTTAAGTTTCTTTCCAAGAGTTCTTTGAGTCATGGCTTTGCTTTGGCAAAACGAATTTGAATATAATATCAAACGGCTGTTGGGAACATATCAGTCTCGGACGAGTTTAGTGAAAAATAGCTCTGGAAAGAGCTGAGACATGTAGGTTAAATGTTGGAGATCTTTACCCCGAATCCTTCACATATATTGCGAAATTATGATCAGTACCTCGTGTGTCTTTCTTTTCCCATGTAAATGACAGGGATTCCACGAGGATTTTTTTTATTATATTGGGGCTGTCTGGGATAACCCATCGTCTCTTATGGCATGACTCCCCCCATTTATATCCCAATTGAAATGCATGAGATCTCCATTTCCTCTCGGGGCTTTCGGTGGATTTTCCCCTCGATGTTCACGTGTTTTTCATGTACGCCTTTTGATATGTCCTCATTCGACTAAAATCCCCTGAGCCTTCGTGTCCACGTGGATCCCAGTTGCAAGAAGTGCAGCGATCGGTCGCGTGACTCTCGACATCGACGTGGGCTCGTTTCGCTTAAAATCGGATTCGATGACAGGCCCGCACAGAGATTGAAATGCGACAACAATAAATAATAGAGACTCCCCTTCGTGATGCCACAAAAGAAGCTCCGTTCCCCATCCAGCAGGTGCGTGTCAAAATGAAACTCCCGGGGATTCTCGAAAGAAATCCAGAGTAGGAATTTCTGGGTCCTCGAGGAACGATGAATGAGTGAAGCCGACGTGATCCATCCATCATCCTCTGTGTCGCCGCCACTTTTCTCTTCTCGCATTTCTCTCTTTTCTTTCTCTCTCGGGCTTCTTTGGAGAAATCCCATCTCCATGACGAGGTAATACGACCGCATGATTCAAAGCAAGCTCATTCTGTGCATGAGCTTGTTCCACTCCAGATCGTAGATGTGTGAAAAGTTGGGGTTGTGGTTGGTGTCGAGGATTTCTACGAAGTTTCCTTAAGAATTCGTGATTTCGAATCGATTGTGACACCTTCGCGGCTTTTGGAAATCTTGATTCTCATTCAAAATCGGCAGGAATTTTCTCCAACGTTTTTCCGGAATGAATATTCATTAAGTGAGATCCAAGCACCAAGAAGATATCTCAAGTTATTCGTAGAAGAAATCCGTCAAGAACAAGAAACATCAAGAAATCCAACAACAAATTACCTCAGGACGAGTTATTGCAATATAGCGCGAGACATAGTCTGTTTTTGCAATCGTAACGGAATGGGCTGCGTTTCATCGCGTGGTAGTCCGTTCCGTTCTTCAGTAATTTCATCCACATCGTATCCCTTTTGTCCGGTGATACAATAGACGCTCTTCTACTCTCATCATGTAAGTTCTTAGCGAAAATTTTTGTCTGGAAATGCCGTTTGCAAGGCGATCAGTTGGCGGTTTTAAGAAGTCGCGTATGTTAAGGAACATCCTGTAGACACAAATTCCCCCATGTAATCGATATATCGATTGTCTTCATTGAGGATCCCCAAAAAGACTCGTATCTAGATTGCTGCGAACACACTACGTACATACCAAGTACAAGTAACTCCCCACGAATCGATGGTTCGCGGTTGACGTCAGAACCATTAGGAAAGTCTAAAAAAATTACTAATTGGCAAATGCTCCACTTTGCACTTAATCAGGATCCCTTGATCTGAGCGACATACGCTCTCCTGGATTGAGTTTTCTACCCTCAAGGAAGATGCTTTTGATTTTAGCTGAAAGCTTATTTTAATCTATGGAGCACGAGAGGATTCTCTATGATCCTTTCAATTACTTTCTTAAAAAAAAAAAGTGTTGATATAATACCCTTGCACAAAAATCCTCAGGATCTTCTTCTGACATTTCCATTTCTCTGAAGAAATTCTATCGTTTCTTATCCTGTCTGAGCTTCAAACGCTATTCGGCTGCATTTGTGAGCTCGGAGGCGCCCTAGCCATTGAAGTGGCGGCACAAATGCTTCCCGATATCGCCCGTCAACACTCCAATGGCACGTCAATAATCCCCTGGGGAAGAGAGAAAGGACTCGGCCAATAATTGTGTCACGTTTCGGTCGATGGGATCGATGGAAAGTGGACCGGACCGTTTCCTCTCTCGCAGCTGTCATATGTATGCTTATCGGGGTGATTTGGGGGCATGTCCAGAGGTGGTCCATTGATACAGTATTCATGAGTGGTAAAAATAAAATAAAAAAGAAAGGACCGAGAGAAGAGAGCGGGTCGATGATTCCTTTGCTCCCGAGAAATCCTTAAGGATGTTTCCGGCCAAAGGATATCCTGTGGCTCTTAGGGGCCAGACAAGTTTTTTTTTTTTTCCTTTCCCTCTTTCTATTCTCATCCCGCCTCGTCTTTTTGTCTTCCTCTTGTCTTTTCGGCAACTCCCTTCGATTGGATATCCTTCGTTCGACGACATGAGAGGGATCGTCCACGTCTCGTGTCAACACTGTTGACATCTCTGCGTCACCCCTTTCATCCTTTCCCGGCTTATTGATACTTCTCTTCCTAGCTGTCATGCCAGCACATCTCGGAAATGTCTTGCACATGCATACTCGTGGGGGTGGATGGGATACGGAGGCAAATAGAGGGTGACGAGATAACGCCTTAATCTTCTTCTTCATAACATTTTCGGAAGTATTTGCTTCACCTAAATATTGCACTTCTCGTCGCTCATCGTTGGTCGATGTCCATCCTGCAAGGTTTCCTGTCTGAGGGAAGCTGCTTTCTCTGAAGGATTCACGCAGCAAGATAAGGTTACAAAGAGAAAGAATAGTTTATTGAGTCTGTTTCTCGATCTGTCCCCTCTGAGGAAATTCCTTCGCCGGTCTTCTTTTTCTTTTCGTCTTTGGCTTGATCATATATTCCCGAAGTTGATCGAGTCTTCACTGGACACATCGAATCCATCTCGACCAGGAGTCACGAACATTTGAATTTCTGATCCCGTCCCCTTTTCCTTTATACGTTCTCTGCCTTCCCCCCCCCCCCCCCCCCCCCCCCCCCCCCCCAGCGCATGCGCAATGTGCACGTTCGTCTGCTAGATTGCTCATGCGTGTCATGCGCTTTCGTCTACTAGTTTGCTCATGCCCAAAGCCGTCGGGATTCCATAGGGAAGGTGGGTCTGCCTTAGAGGAGACCTTTTTCCACAATTGCTGCTTGTGCATGTTCTTTCAGGTACTTGGCTGTGACGAACGACTAACTTTTCATGTCTTCTCAGTAAAACATACACACACACGTTCGCTCACCTCACTCCCTCACTCACTCACTCACTCACTCACTCTCCCTCCCCCCCCCCCCCCCCCCCCCCTTTCCAAGCCATAAACATATCTGGCCACGACCGTATTTTCAAACGCCATCAGGGAATGCATTATCGAAATCTATGAGGAAAAGCGGAGAACAGGGAAATGAAGCGAAAAATTGAGACATGAGAACTCCAGTCACGTTCCAACCCATTTCCATTCGTGGATCTATACAGTCCACGGCAGGGGAATTATTATTTCCCTTTTTCTGCTCGAGGAGGAAGAAAAAGGGGAAATACTTGCACAAGTACGGTCAGAGGGACCCTCGTGGAGTCAGCGGAGCGGACCGGACTTTCTCCCTCTGAATACTGAAATAGTTCCCTCTTCATTGGTAGAGACAGAAAAAAATACCTCTCCATCGCTAAGGAGACTTTTTTCTCTCCGCAGTCCGAATGTTTTTACGGAGAAGCAAGTACTCAGCCGACGTTCATGATCGGGGTGAAAACTTCTTTCCTGGCGGCGTCTTTGTGCTCGAGCTAAACGACTTACTCGTGTCACGTGTCATGCCAGCTAGCGAAAAGATGCAGTTTCCCCCTTTCTGCATGCGAAGGGAAAACGCGCTCGCCTCAAACACATCCTCGAGAACGCCGAGAAGAAATCGGTAACACGAGAAACAGCAGCAGATCAAGGGAAAACTGACCCATCGTGAAGAATAGCGGTTTCAGGTGATGTGAGAAGATGTGAGGAGAATTACGAGAGGAAGGCAGCGAATGGAGAGCAGGTCCAGGGATCCCCCAGCTGAAGGAATCTGCATCGGCGAAGGCAAATGTCCTAGGAATCCCAAGTACTCCATCAGCGTTCCGGCATCATCAGTATCAACGTGGCAGTGGCATAATCCTCTAATCCTCTTTCTTCTTCATTAGCTTGTTTAAGACGATGTGATTACGGTACAATTCCGTCCCTCCGGTGAAAAAAAGGTAGCATACGTAATAAAGCACTCTGGTAAGAGTGTTTTCAAGCCTGAATGTCGCTGACATTTGAGCCCCTAACTGAATTATCACAGCATATACCGTAAAATAGCCGCGTTGCGTATTGTTTTGCCATTGCAATCTTATTGCATCGATCTTTGTCCTCGGTTTATATGTCTGTCTTACAATCCATCTCCCCCTATCTTTTAACGCAGATCAATTTAATCTCTTCTGGGGCTTTGGAGGGAATGATGCTTAGGGCTTCCAAGCAGAAGTTCTAATCTCTAAGTTCATTATTGCAAGTTGAAGATTCGGAGCGGATTGCGAGGGTAAATCCCGAGAAATGTAACGTGCGACAGCGTAATGAATCCGATTCGGGGCAGCACGTGCCACAAGTTAAAACAGTAAGTTATCCAGTACTGTTACTGTTAAATACTGTTACGTAGAGGTGAAAACACCAAAAACCACATTGTAACTTAAGGTAGAGATTTGGGATGACAGACCGGTGTGCACGTGAACTTTGGCGATGGCCTCTTTGGCGTTTGACGGTCGACATTTGTAGATGCCGGAATCGTGGGGGGTGGCGTTGAGGACGACCAACATGCTCGTCGTCATCTCGCCCTTCTCCGTCTCCACGATCACTCCACCTCGAGGGGACTTGTGGTTTATAATCTGCAGGGGAAATCATGCAAGGGGGGGATCCCGGAGGGTTGGAATTAATCTCTGGTGCTGCCCCAAAGGAACCAATTCTTTCGGCATTTGCATAATGGGTTTCTCGGGGGGTTATGAATACTTGCTTCCTAATAGGCCCTCAGAGGAGAGGGGGAGAGGGAGAGTTAATCTCAGACTGACACGTCAAAGATGCAGCAGTTTCCATCTCCAGAATTCGCCTCTTCCGCCGGCCTGGGTTTAATTAACGCTGCAGGCCTCATTATGCACCCCCATTGTACTCGTATCGAGGAGCTTATTCTCTTCTCATTCGCTATAAAGGACACCTTCATGAATACGGAAAGGCGGTCCGACCTGATCTCCGTGAAACCAGGTGACGTGGTCGGGGGGCTTCGGATAATTCCTCACTACGCAGGTCAGGGTGATGGAACTCCCTTTGGCCACGTGGATGTCTTCTTCCGATCCCCGGATCTCCGTCGAGGGCTCTGCAAGTGCAAGGAGAACGTGACTGAGTTGATTAAATTCCATTCAGAGAAACCAATTCCATTATTTTTCGTTAGCTTTTTTTCTGGCATTAGTCACAGCTGCAAGAAGGCAATACTAGCTGAAGTACCCGGCGTTGCCCGGGGAAATTCAATATTTGATGCACCACAAATTGGGGAACGTTAGCCTTCCAATAAGTTACCGAACTTAATTTTTAAATACAACTTTTATTGCAAAGCTGTTGGATGCACAATGTTTTTGGTTTTACCCATTAGAGGCAAAGACATACAGATTCTTTCTAGTTCCAACTCTTGAACACGCTACATAAACGGCAAGGAGTCTCCAGATTAACACCTGCAGCCTTAAGCGACTGCCCTTGAGCTTTATAGATGGACATCGCAAAGGCAAGACGCACTGAAAACTGCAGCCGCTTAAATTCGAAGGGCATCTCAGTAGAAAACCTGATCAAAAGAATATTACTTATTACCGACTGATCCAGCAATGGGATCACCCCGAAGTACTGTAATGCAGGTGGCCGGGAGGGGAGAGTTGGATGGCATGAGAGGACGTAAAAAGGCAGGGAACGGCTGGGAATCGAACCCAGGCCTCCTGATTGCCGATCGGGTGTGCTACCACTGCACCACCGAATCCAGGAGTCAGTCGCTCCTCTCAATACCATCCCAGACCATTACAGTACCCCGGGACAGACAGACAGACAGACAGACAGACAGACAGACAGACAGACAGACAGGATATCGCCAACTAGTCGATTCATCATTCATCAGTCAATTTCTGCAGGAATTTTCAACAATTGGACAGTTGGTAAATTGGTTTGTAAATCAAATCGACAATAAATACATATTCTATGGCATACAAACGCTATACAACAGTTATTCTTCATTGCAATTAATAGTTACGACGAAGCAGAGAAGTGGAGAGATCTCGAGAACCTTTATCACAGACATTCACGACCTCTCAAGTATATTATGCATTTCGGTATGCAGTATGCAGAACGGCCCGAGGCAAAGTGCTATTGCAAAATTGATATTGTTGATACGGAACTACCAGCAAACATGGCATGAATTTGCTACTCCATCTTCGACCTCTTCAAATTTTCATGACGCTTAGGGCAACTCTTTCATTTTGCATCACTCCAACCTCTCACAGATCTGCAAATCCTTCTAAATACGATGAAAGGCTGACAAAAATGAGGTTGGACGAAAAGTGGTTGCTTAGCTGTGGAGCGTGGGAGAGAACGATGGACTGCAAATTTCTGGTCAGTGTTGAATCTCTGAAGTAACTGCGGACAAATTCAACACTTCCCAAGTTCATTGCCTCAATTTCCCCTGTGGAATTATCATTAAACATGATCGAATGATCCTCAAAACGGCATGTTAATTATCATTGCAATTTATCTTAGGTTTATTCATACAATAATAATTGAACGCAAATCCAATCAACTAATGATCATTATAAGCGACACCCACGCGACATCTAGTGACAACAATAAAACTATTATCATGCCTGGAATGGTCGCTTAAACTACAGGTAGAAAGAGATAAGGATCAATCAAATGAATTCATGCAGGTGTAAGCAATGTCAATCACATTTGACCTTGAACAGCATGAAAATTTAACTATTAATTAATTGTAATCGGTTAAGTGTCATGCTTAGAGAACAGATATAGCTAAATGTGGAATATCCTCTTGGTTTAGGTGACGATGGTCGGAAAGACAGAAAATAGCCTGAGAAAATGTGTGGAAACGCACTTTTCTTCAAATTGATTGATGCAATGGTCAAAATTTGGAGCCCGAAACACAACATTCCCATCCAGCTGTTCTGCCTTTTACCTTCCTGCACGTCATTTTTTCCCCTTCAGGGACGTTTAATTCCTCTCCTTCTCCAGCGGTCATTGTCCACTTGCAGTTTGGACCATCGGAACCGAAATATAGATGAAGTGGTTCTCAGATACACTGTACGCGCCATTGAGCTAACCTGCGCGGTCGGAGCCACCACTAAGGAACAAATGATGTGAATGGAATGTGAGATGGAGCAACGTTATGGCAGCGATCAGTCTCCGTTTCAACTTCCTCGAGTCCAGACAGTGAGCCAAATGCAGACCCTTTTGGGCCGAGAAATAATTCCTCATAACAGAAGACACATCTCAAAATCAGACGTGAATATGAGGGCACTCTTGCCCTACTTTCAATATCGACCTTCGTCCTTTAAGCTAATTTCTTTCTTTCTGCTCTCTCTAAAGGCTGCAATGACCCAAATGACTTGGCTGCTCGAACCGATCTGTTTCCCTGCCAGATTTTCGTTGGTTCTCTGAAGTCTACATTACCGATTCCCATCCATAGTCAAATGAAGTAGTGTGAATTCCATTTTTCAAAGGCTTTTTCCCTTTCGTTAAACACCCCCCCCCCTCACCCCCTCTATCTATAGGACTCTAACGTTAGGCCTAGGCCTAACCCACGCACTACCTTCAGGTCAAGTTAAGCCTACCTTTTTCCCAACCCTCGACTTTTAGGCAATTTTAGACAATTTTTACAAAAACAAATTTTAGACAATTAGGCCTATAGAAATCAATCACTCGGGACACACCAGTGGGTCTTCGAGACATCTCGGTGAGGACGTGTAACGTTCGAAAGATTGCAGATCTATTTTGACTTTCACGTCCCACTTCCGAGAGGTAGTGTAACGTGAGACTGATTATGAGCCTGTTTCGAGTTTCATGAATTTCAGTGCGGACGTGTAACGTTACGCTTATCTGGAGTTTCTCGAACCACCTCCACTAAATCTGAGGAAGGAATGCCTTCAGGATCGAAATGGAAGCCATCCTGTCGATTCAGAAACGCTTGTGCACGATATCTCCATGAACCACCACATCGATCGAACACAGCTAAACACCGTTTTAATCTCAGCTCATCCCATGAACTCAGCACAAATAAGTATATGCATTAAAAAAAAAAACAAGATCCAGACATCGATTCGAAGGCGAAAGCAGTCATGAATCCGACCTAACTCCACCACGATATCCGGCAACACTGGAAGACGGGACTCGAGCCCTCTCGCTAAGCCTAAATGAACGACAGCTAATTTCAGGGCTCTTTTCGTGATCTACAAGTCCATGTCTTCCTTTTAGATGGAATACTTTTTCCTAAGGCAACCCAGGAGGGGCTACGGGGGGGGAATACCAGAATGAAATTCACATATTCAAAAAGTGAGACTCAGTGTTCTCAGCAACCCTGGGGAATTGAAGCTTCAAATTTGCTGGAGGGTTTCTGTGCTGAGAGGGGAAGAAGCTTGCCCAATTTCGTTCCTGTGGATACTCTCAGATGAGAATACGAGGAGGTCAAATTTTGTGGCGGGAAGAGGTTGAAGAAAGGGAATAGGCGGTACCAAAGCCAATTGACATGGCGAGCGCCCCCTTAATGATCGGGAGCGTAGAAAGTATAGTAGGAAGTTTCCTCTTCTTTCATTGTAGCGCATTACCCCTACCATTACCATTACCGCAGACATTTAAAAGCGATCAGAGCTTAAAGAGATGATGTCGATCACTCGGGACGCACCAGCTTTTATCTAGTCTCTTCTCGACTTGAACGTCGTTTATCCGAAGAGCCACAGCCGTTTGTCCGGCTGTGGACGCTTTTATTAGCAGGATTCCTTTGGCGGGAGCATCAGCCGATTCCAGATTTCCTCAGTTCAAGAATCTGTTGCTCTCTGTATCTCCATCAAAACAGCCGGTCATTCCGAATGGAACGGATCTGAAACTGGGACGATGGGATAGAAATTCCAGGCTTGGAAGAAAAGGCAGACACATTCCTCATTTCTCGATATTATTCGACTTTTCGACGTTTTCAACGCTTTTCTTCGCGCCGGTTCGACGATTTCTCTCTCTCTCATTTTGCCCTTTGGTATGTATTGCATCAATTTCTCACCCGCACGGCAAAAAACTTTCCGCCCAGTCCGAGACTGCAAAATTGTAGCCATTACGCTTTCGAGTAACTTGAACGCGAGAACTGCCCTTCGTAGTCCCAAAAGTCCCACCGCCAAATCCTCAAAATGCAATGCGATCGATCTCGAAGTGCTAATCGGAACAGCACAGGGCGGAGCGCTTTCATTCCGATCCCGAGATCGATCCCCGGCCCATCAGATCCAGATACGTCTTTTACCCTGGGGCAAACACGATTTCCGGTAAGATTGAGCTTTGTAATGAGTATCGACGATTCCCAAGATGGAGCGCTCGGCAACGTTGGATTTGTTTACCGAACCACAGAGTCGAGCCGCGGCCTGCTGCACGTTGCCATTTCCAGGAGGAAAACTTGGAACAAAGTTAAAATTAAAATAAAAAACCTTGCGGGAAAAATTTGCTACTTTGATTCGACTCAAAGCATTCAGTCAATCTTGTGCATAAAGAGATCTTACTTTTACTTTGGATGGAAAAACTCCTAGCATCGGTCTACTGACCAAACCTCGGGCATCGACTGGGCCTTTGGAGCCACCTTACCTTAAAAAAAAAAATTCTAATCCAGCGGTTAAAGTCGGTCACCACTTAAACACCCTGTGCGGACACGGATTTTCCACTGGTATTCTTGAATACGGCACCCAAGCTTCTGCTGGAATGTCGGCTTCAAGTTTACAGGATGTGCTATGTATGACGACTGATATTAATTTTCCTCAACTCATGAGGGCTCCAGCCAACAACAGCATGTTGAATCTGACCATTTTTTCATTCGAATATAGATAATTCAGGAAACCTAGGAAAGGCACAGCTCTGAAACGTTTGCTCTTTCATACCCCGCAGTATTTCCGCGGAAATCCAAGAGATGCCTCCCAGAACATTTTGTAATTCCGAACACTCGAGACGAAACGACCCAGTAATCGCCGGCTTTCTTTGGGGCACAATGCCCTCATCTCCTCCCCGAGTTCGGTCGGGGTTCTCCAGCAGGGCGAATTCCCCTGGAACGAGAAGGCGAAGGAGCCGAAGCGCCAGCGTACGATTTAAGGGCCGAAAGGGGAAGTGGAAAAAAGTATCAATGTATTTGGTTTGGTGCTCATTGGACATTTCCCTTTCGTTTAAAATGATGGTTTTTGGGAAATGTGTTAAAGATAATTCGGTCAAACTATGCATATCCCTTTTCCTCGCTTTTAAGAAGTCGGACACTGAAATATTCACTCTTTCCATATCAACGGAAGAATCTTTTGGAGATGCACCACTTTTATTTTTAATCCTTTAATTGCCACCGTCCGATCGACAGACGATACGCTCGACACTGTTGCCGTAGACGGCATCCACACTGCAGCGTCGACGAGGGAAACCAAGTGCTTCGGAACGGCAAGCACAACTTTGTCGTGCTGACGTCACGAGGCCGAGACCCATGGGCTCTGATGAGTCGAAGCCAGCATTCGCGTGCACGAAGGGACCAGCTCCCACCCGATCCAGCTTTTTCCCATCAAATTTCCTTATCGAGGGCCTTGTGAGGCTCGATCGCATGCGGGTTGCCTGGGTCTCTCGGGTCCGTGCTCGATCTTACACGAAGCCGATGAGAAGGGAATATGATTTTCGATCCGAAGAGGCTCCGAAGAACCACAAAGGCGGGTCGGAATCTCGAGGGATCGAAAGGGGAGAAAGGTGAAAGGGGGTCGGCATCATTCCCAAGAGATGCGAGAACGAATCTCATGAATTATTTTATAAACCTCTTTCCGTTACCTTCCACCGAATGCACCTGGACCGGCTTGGGTAAATGCATCACAAAGGAGAAATGAGAGGGGAATTTCTGCAAATAGGAATCGGGGAAGTACCAGAGGGATGAAAGGAACCCTTTCATCTCGAGGCTAGTTCAATTTCCTCTTCGTAAAACCTCCTTTTGGCTTCTCAAAGACCCTTTCTCGAGATGCATATTAGTCGAAAGCCCTCCTTCGGTAACGGAGAAGACGTTCTCGGGTTAAAGTAACGTGGGATCCGGGCCCTGATTTTGCGACTCGACGTTTGGGAAATTTCTTCCGTTTGCTGATCTCTGTCGACTCGTCGAGCCGTCGACGGATGCGATGCGATCACTTGCGTAAGGGGCTCTTGGGGGGAATAGAAAGAGAACGAGAGGAAGCGATTTGATGGTTTCCGTGCTTCGGTGGGGAGAAAAACACTGATTCCGATGACGAGGGGGAAGAAGGGAGGAAAAAGGAGGCCGATATGAAGAACTGCACCGGGATATGGGCTCAGTTGCCATGGTGCCACGAGGGAAATTAAGAGCTCCGATCATGGCCCCCGTGGGACTGTAGGAACTCACCATGGAGAAAGGTGCACATCACGCAGAGAAGAAAAAAAAAGGAGAGGATGAGAGAGGCTCGAGCAGAACTTTTCACTTTGCTTCATTTCACTGGGAGGGATCAAGATCCCCCCGCCCCCCTTACATGAACAAAAAAAAATGGGGAAAAGGCGGGGATTCTCTGCCTGCGTCTCTCGGGTCTGACTCGAATCCCCGCGATCACCCACCGACGGAAAAGACGTTAAGGAGATTACGGAGAGAAAATGACGTCGGCACCTGCCTGGAAACCCGCGAAATTGCATTTCCGCCTTCGTTAAAAGGAACTTCAAGGCCGCACGAACATCCGATGAGAAAAAAAAAACCTCGAGGAAGCGAAAAGGTCGCCGGCCATGCAAGGAAGCGACGGCTTGCAGTTATATCCCATTTTCTGCGCTGTTTCATCTCCTCATCAGAACGAAAAGGAGACAGATTTTCTCCGGAAACTTTCGTGTCCGCTTCGTTTCCCCCATTATCTCTGTTTCCGCTTCCTGGTCACACGTCTCGCCAAGTTCCCGGTGTGCATTTCCCCTCCGTATATACAGAATATGGCAAAAAAAAGGGCTAACGACTTTGGGTCGCTGTATCTCGGGAACGATTCGGTCAAATCTCATTAAATATGGTGCTTGCCTTATTTTCCTCATTTGCCTCATCTATTTCCTACTTTGCGAAGTCGGTCAAACTCTGACGATTCACATGAAAGACACGACCACTCGGAAAGCCTGAGAAATCCAGAAAGAGAGAATTCCTCCAACTCGGATCTGCTGCGACACCGCACCGAATCACGGCGATGAATGGTTTCATTTGGGCTAATCGCAAAAAAAAAGCTAATTTCGCGTGGGATGAGCTACTTTCGTTCCAGACTCGGTCGTTTTTGCGTCACGCCAATCTTTCGTGCTTTGAGCCATTTTTATGTATCGCCCATTCTCAACCTAAAAAAAAAAATTCATGTAAAAATTGTCAAGCATTCTGTGGTACTTTTCAGGCATATTTCCGTTCATAATGAATGGCAGACTGGGCAAAGAATATCGACCGTAAATTCAATTCGAACGAATAAATTTCGAAAAGCTTTCAAAATGAAGCGAAAGGAGGCAAGCGACTTTCCCACGAAAGACGAGATTTAACTCGAGCAGTTTCGAAGTTCAGCGACTCGACGTCTTCGGTCTTCTTTTTGCGCATGCACGCATACGGCATTTTGCCTTCGGACCCACGCGGGCGCACGGAACGTGTCGGAGCGAAAACAGATCGGAGGGGGCCGTTCGCACTCTGGCAGCCACAGACAAAAGGGGCCTTCCCCCCGCGTGGGGGGATTCCTTCCGCGGAAGCGCATCTCGATCGGGAGGAGATGCAGGGGAGGGGGAGGGGGGGGGGGGGGGGAAATGTCAGAGGGGTCGGGGGGGAGGCGNGGGGGGGGGGGGGGGGGGGGGGGGGGGAAATGTCAGAGGGGTCTGGTGGGAGTCGAGAGGGTCTCCGCGGGATCGGGGTGAGTCAGTGGCGAAGCAACCGCCAAAGCAGTCCCTGCAGTAGCGGAGGGACCAACCGTGCGACATTTTCCCTAATGTATTTATAATTTATACAAAAACATAAAAGTAAAAATAAATAAGTAAATGGTCATCGCCCATGGGGGGGGGCTGGCTGTCTCCTAATACCGTCAGATTATCAATCCATCAGTTGTGGACATCGGGACAGACGCTCCTGAACGTTGCTCTAGCACAGGGGTGGGCAATTATTTTGGCTGGGGGGGATTTCACGAGTTTTGATGGGCTTTGATGAGCTTCAAGGGGCGCACTCTAGTATCTCAGAGAACACCTCGATAGCACAGTCGTTGCTGGTCGGTCCTATTCCCTCCTTTGCGATGAAACCGGTCGACAGCTTCTTCTACCGCATCACGTTTTTCGACCATCCAGAATCTCACAAAAAAGACAGCAAAGTAAACTCTCTCAAAAAAATTTCATGGCGTTCATCTTCGATAGCGTTAAAGTGCACTGTGTTGTAGCCTATAGGACTGTCTGACAAAATCCATCCAAATGGCTGGAATTATAAAAAAAAAAGCCTCACTCAGTCGGAACAGTTAGATTCCCGATCTCGGATAGCCACAGATCCCAGAGTTGGCAGGTATGACGGTCGGGTCAGGCCATCCTGGGAAGCATGACATCGTGATAATTAATAACCTGAATCCCATCGCCATTCTAGAAAATACTGTAGTCGAAACATGGGCGAGTCGAGGAGAGAAAGGAAGGGAAAGAGGGCCTAACAATGACAAACGAAACGAGCAAGCTCGGCTCATTCATTCGTTACAATGGGTCCTTTCTAAACTAACTAAAATGTTTCCTTTTGTCAGACGGAGTGGCGGGCCGGATGAAACGATTCGGCGGCCCGGATTCGGCCCGCGGGCCGTATTTTGCCCACCCCTGCTCTCGCAGATGGTCGCGAGCCGGCGCAGGCGGCCCGGGTCCTCCAATCGCACGTCGAGACGAGGTCGGTGCTCTTTTGCGCGAGAGACATCCAGCCGACAGAGGAAACTTTCCAAACAGATCAAGTCACTTCTCAGATGAAGTCACTTCCCAGATGAAGTCACTTCTCAGATGAAGTCACTTCCTGGATGAAGCGATTCATGCAGGCTTCCCTGGCTTTACACGGGTTCTTTTTCCTTGCGCGGTTTCATTTAATACCAAAAATTGGATAAACTGAAACCGTGTATCTGCCAACCACACCCCGTGCTCTTCGAATCTTTGGTAGTAAACAAAAAAAAAATTGGGAAAAACTCCAAGGACCATGCCTGCCGAAGGGGCCTCCCTACTCGAGGGATCAAATTCAAGACAGTTCCTCCTCAGAATGAAATTACAGGACCGCAAACGAAACCGGGGCCGTCCGTCCCGGCAACCTGGCTCTTGTTCCCGGAAACTGGACGCCGCCTTCTGTGAGCCCTGTCGGCTGTTTGCCGACGGAAAGGACGCCAAATGCCATTCAGCCCGGTCGATGGGCATACGTGACCGGCGTGGACTTTTGCGAAAAATTAACGTCCATGCTGAATCAGCTGGGAAATTTGGAAACAGAGCTACTGCAGGATATGAAAAGTGCGCCATTTTTCTCGATCATTATGGGCTCAAGACATTTAAAAAAAAAAAAGGACCAATGGAGCCATATCTACCGATTTGTCATGCTTCAATAT